AATGTAACAAGTCGTTGAGTCACTAGAATGCCAAGCTTGAATTCGTTGTGATAGGGCTTGAATTCGTTGTTAGGCCGAACTTGTAGCCACACATTGGAGTTATTCGTTGGGAGTTGGTGTCAAATTGGTGTGTGTCGAATAGCTTAAGTAAAACTGATACATTTTTTATTGGACAATTTTGTAGGGCGAGCTTCTGAGTTGCTCTTGTAGGGTAATAATTGATGTTAACTTCAGGCAGGCTAATCAGTTGTTGAGACTAGCTCCCTATAAGGTCGTGCTGATTTTGTGTCGACGAATAAAGTTGAGTTAGCTATATATATATATATATATATATATATATATCTATATATAAAGAATGGTCATAGGCTATTATACGAGTCCCCACCCCCCCTCACGCGCCTCACGATTAAAAGAGTTTCAGCTAAAGTTTTCAAAGCAGATAAGGCAATGGGCAACCACCAATGCTTTAAATGATTAACTAAATACAGAGAATCAAAGCATTCATTACTTCCATTCTTTGGATAATAAAGAATAATAATTGCTCTTCTATGAAAAAGATGATGAGAGATCCAATTAAATTAAGGATGAAGAAAATAATTCGTACAGCTTTTCATATATAAAAAAAGGAAATATTTTCCTTATATTTTGAAAAAAAAAAAACAAATATATCATTAAATTATATTATGTCAAATATTATTTTTAGTCATTTTTTTCAAGCTCTAAATATTGCTAAGTTGCCCTTTCGTTTGGTCGGCTAAGCTTATCCGGCTTTGGCTTGATATGATCGGTTTGATTGACTAGGCTTAGTCGATATTATCAGTGGGCTGAGCTTGATTAGTTTCGGGTTGGCAGGACTGTTTTGATCGACTAGGTTTTGCAATTCAGTTGATCTAGTTTGATTGTTAATCTTTGATCACTGGTGATGAGCTATTGTCGACAAAACTACGCTAGACTATCGAGGAGAGAGTGAATTATCGTAACCCGATAGGTTGTGTGTTCATTAAAGAAGAGAGCCTGAAAGATGACTATAAGAGTCTTTTTTGCATTGTTAATTTTTAATCCCTACGAGAAGCCTCGAGGGGGGATGGTTGAAGACATTGTGAAATTGTATATTTGTATTGGGTCGATGTGAATCAAATGCCTATTTGTCTCGTTTCAATCCGAATGGTTCGGGCTCGGATCACTTGGTCCTCTTTTGTCCTCCTCGTGGTTAGATCGGTTTTGGCTTTGGCTCGAAAAACTACATTCAACCGGTTTTTGCCTTCAGCTCAAATGGCTGCATCAAGTCGACTTTGGCTTGGAAGACTACATCCGGTCGAATAAGCGTGCCTCATAGTCTTTTATCTGTGGGTCCTCCTTAGTCACGCTCTTCTCCTCTCAACTGTCAGATTTTCTCAGGGTCAACACTGACACATGTAGTGTGTAAAATTGTAGTGAATTTCAAATGCAATTGGTAGTTCCTTTTAAGTGTACTTCAAATTCATCTGATTTGGGTAATTTCAAAATACAATGCAAATGATGGCAGTCATCGCACTCGCTATGTCCTCTATGACCATTAACTACGCTACTGCCACCAACAATCCCCCTACTCAGCCATTGCACGCCAGCTCCTGCACCATCGCCTCTATAGCCCCTATCATTGTCTCTATGGCCCCCATTGCCCTAATCACTACCACTCGGCTGGCCGCCACCACTATTACTATATGTTGCCATATTAAATTTATTTTAAGTCACAATAAAATGTAAAGTAACATTTTATTGTACGTCGAAATAAATAATTCTAAAATATTTTAAATAAATAAATATTATTTTTAGACAGCATTTTTTGTAAGCTATGCCAAACAATAACTATCCCGACTGAGTATAAAAATAATATCAATGGCTCCCACAACCACATGTGGGAGCCATTGCCGATCTGACATTGGTCTTAGCTTTTGAAAGAGCAAAATTTTAAATTTTTAGGATTGCTTGTCATTGGAAGAGTAAACATTCATTGATCTTAAGGATGTTTTATAATTATCTTCATAAACATTTTTCTCTCATGCTTGAAGTAAAATGCTTTGGTTTAAGGGCTGTTGCCTTTAATATGCAACATTTGCTTAGAGGTTCTTATAAATGGCTTAACTATTGTGGATAAACTTGTTGGTAGATGTATTAATTTGTATTATGTATATATTTTCTTTAAGGGTCGCTCTGAAAGTCATACATATCTTTTCTTTGAATGTTATTTTGGTTTTTACCTTATGCAAAATGCAATCTCATTAGGTTCGTTCTAACATGTTGCCTGCAGTCTTCATCAATATTTAGCACATGCTGATGTCATTAGATGTAAAATTATTAGATCCTATTCATTGCTTGAGGTTCAAGTTGTGGCCATCAGATTTGGCTTGAGAAAATTACACGAATTTTCAAGAATGACTACATCAATGATGATACTATTCTGAACACTATTAAAAATGCTATCAAATACAAAATAGAAAGTGAAAATGCAGATAAGAAACACACTCTCAAATTACTTCCTTATATTTATATAGATTGTAACTTCCCTCTCTCTATCTCCGTTTCTCTGTTTCTTTAATGGTTAATATTGCTGTTAATTTTGTATGATCTGTCTTTTGAAAAAAAAAAAAAAACTTTCACACTTATGGAGGTATATGTGATTGGTCTCATGCTTTGGGGGTTTATCAGAAGCTCTATTTTTGTCTCTTATAATTATTTATGTTTTTTACTTTTGGTGATTGGGTTATAATCGGGCTGCATGTTTTTACGCTTAAAGCCACTATCAGGAAAAATATTGAATGCAGATAAAATAGGTGCATATTTCGTTGTATTTTTTATTATATTGATTGTATTAATACAACCAATACAAACAACAAACTATGAAATCCGCAGGTGTGGACTCCACACCTAATAATTGCTCCACTTCCATGGAGGTTTTTGAATCAAAATTCAACCAGATCGTTGTCCTAGACGGAATTCTTGAATCTTGCTGTTTCCTTGATATTTACAACATATACATGTGCTCAATTGGCATCCTTTTCTCTGGCTGGTGCACTAGTATCTGGGCTTTGGAAAACTTCCTACTATGGCTACACTATATAAAGAACAAATACTCTTTGGCCTTTTGCCTAAAGATAGCTGTTATGATCTTTACATTCATATTCAAAATTGAGCCTGCATGGAGTCATTTCATAGAGATCGCTCATGTCATTTGAGACAAAATTTTGAGATTTTTATCCCTTTCCGCCTACCTCTTTTACTTCTTTGCTGCTATTTTTTTATGAGCACATTTTCAGTCCGGACTCCTGATGTTTCTTTACGTGCCGCAGAGGTTATTCTTGAGTTATTTTGAGGTTATTTCTGAGTTATTTTCAATAATCCCGAAATGGAGGTTATTCTTGAGTTATTTCGAGGTGAAAATAACCCAGAAATAACCCAAAAATAAAGACCGCAAGTTATTTCTGGGTTATTTCGGGATATAAGAAAATATAATGTAATTGAAATATATTATATCTGAAATACTTTGAAGTTGTTTCATTAAATATAAAATAAATGCATAAATTAACTCCATAAAAAATATGATAGGTGGCAATCCATGGATTCGACAATCCATGGATTTAGGAAAAAAAATTGCGTATGATAAACGTACGCAGCGCTGCGTATGATTTTGAGGTTATACCGAGGGTATAAGAAGGTTATATCTACGGTATAACCCCTTGTAACCTCCATGTAACATTCTGTAACTTACCTGTAACATACTAATAAATTCTTAATATATGATAACAGAAACGCGAAACTTATTTGTAGGTTACAAGTAGGTTACAGAAGGTTATATGGAGATTACAAGGCGTTATACCGCGGATATAACCCACTTATACGCTCGGTATAATCTCATAATCGTACGCAGCGCTGCATACGTCTATCATACGCAAATTTTTTCCCTAAATCCATGGATTGCCACCTATCATATTTTTTATGGAGTTAATTTATGCATTTATTTTATATTTAATGAAACAACTTCAAAGTATTTCAGATATAATATATTTCAATTACATTATATTTTCTTATATTAGGGAAATTGACATACATAGAATTGATATCACACCTAATTTTTACATTTACATGCATAACACTTCGCAGATGCTTGAAAAGGTGGTTTTGAATGTTGAAATGGGTAATTAATGCTGTTTTTGATTTGATATGAAAGAATTGAATGCTCTGCTTGTAAATATGAAGGTTTTAGTATGAGATGCACAGATCCATAAGAATTGAGTGCTATGTATGTAAATGCCCCTTTACAAATACATCATAAAGATGCAAGGTAGTATTCTTTATGTTCCCTGCTATGATACATTAACACTTCAAATTAATGAGCTGTGCAATGTCATACACATTAGATACAAACAAGACTCCTACACTGCTTCGATGTATGTTAGACAGAACATAAAAAATTATGATTTAAATAACATTGTTTTATAAAGAAAATGCACATCATAAATCAATGAATTAAAAATTTCTAAAAATATATTTTAAGTTTAAATTAAAAAATACATTTTTTTTATGAATAAATTGAAAATAATGGTATGTTAGATGTGACATGAAAGATTTGGGTGTCAGAAATATAAATCAAAATTTATAAATTAGATATATAAATACATAAAAATTCAGTGCCAAAGATAATGACCATTTTTTACTTTAATGAATAGTTTATCAAGTATATTTAAATCTTGATAAAATATATGATAATACATGCTTACTTTTTGTATGTTATAAACTAAACAATTATCTATAGACACTCTAGTTTTCAAAAGTTAATACTATTAAATTTCATATTTTCTCATTTATATTATTCTTAATATTTTCTTTATTAAATCATAAATATAACAAACACAAACTTATAACCTATAATGTTAATAAGAGATCTGTCCCGTGTCCATATGTCATGTCCATGTCCCTCTATCCGTATCCATACAACACAACTCCCTAAACAAACACACATATGAATAAAATTTGTATTTTATGCATACTTCTTTTTAACATAAATAATGTAAGACATAATACAAGTGAGAAAGGATTTATAAAATTTCCCAAAACTTAATAGTTTCATTAGACAAGTATATCAATCAATGCTCCTACATTACCATATGAAAACACAAAAACCTAAAAGCCAGTCTCCATGAAAAAACAAAAAACAATAGAGAGATGTAACATTCTAAGGGCCAAAATGTTTCTTACTTGTTGGCAGATGCGTGCTTATGGAAAGGCCAGAGATTGAGCCAACGTTCCAAGACGCCGGCGCTCTTGGAGAAGGCCTGTGGATGGGGAATCGGTGGCTGCGGGAAATCCTCAGCCGGCATTGCGAAGGGCCTCAGCATCTTCTCCATCATTTCGAATGTGAGATATGCTCCCACATCCTGTAATCTCTCAGGGCCCTTTATGGGAAGTGTGTGCTCTTGATGCAGCAAGGCAGCGTCGGCATCGTTATTCGGTTCCTGTAAGCGGCATTGGGAAACCCTAAGTTTTGAATTTATATATAAATTTGAATAAAGAGAGTTTGATTGAGTTGGCGCATGAGTTGACTTCATAGATTCATTCAGAATGAACTGAAATATGACTTGGTCCAAAATCAAAGTCATTTGGTTCTAATAAGGCTGCTAAACTCTAATCATATAGCATTTCTGGTTTAGGAAAGTTCCAGGTTGAGAAACAATTCTTATGTATTTATGTATCTCAGATCTGATTTTTTATAGTTATATGCATAGCATTATGCGATATGAAAATTATTAAAATTTAATGGTTGTAAATTAAGAAACGTGTATATTAGGAAGAATGATATTAGATAATTTAATTTGAAAAGATTTAAAAATATGTTTTTACATATTATGAAATCTAATTTGAGGAGATATAAATATATGATGTTTTCATTATTTGAAATATTACTAATTTGTAGATCATAATTATCTCTTATTCATAAGAGAGATTATGAAAGACTTGAGTGTGCTGAGTTGTAACCCTAATTAGGCTGATTTTTCTTTTCTCCTCATCTTTTGAAAGTGGAATAACCTTTTCGCATGGACGTAGTCAGATTTGTGCCGAACCACATAAGTCGCACTGTGCTTAGTTGTTTGTTTGTTTTGTGAATTTATTTTCTCCATTGTTTTGCACAACATTTTGGCGCTTTCAACCTAGGCATGAAAATTTGTATTTCACTTCTGAAAAGTAATAATAGTGTTATTTTTTACATGTCACTAAATAATTGAGTGTTATGCGTGAGATCCGTAAATTCATAAGAATTGTGATGACCGAGAGATTACCTCAAGGGTGCTTAAGTCGGCACCACGACTGAACGTCATCTCAATGCGAAACCTCTTTGGATCTTCCAGAAGCACCTGGATTATGGATAAAATCAAGGAAATCATTAGCATTTTGAGTGGTGCGTCCTTGAAAAAAGAATAATAAGATAAAGATAACAGACCTCTGTGTTCTCGAACATCCTTAGAACAATGTAACTCATATAATCAAGCTCTCTTGTTTTAAAAAGCCGCTCCAGCGCACTGTGATAGATAAGGCTGTCTTCATGTTGAAGGGATTCATCCAAATTGCAGTAGCGGAGAACATTCATGAAGGAGTGTATGTGAGATTCCTGTCAATAACAAAAAGCCATCCAGAACACCGTGGGCGGGCATCAAAGGAGTGCTGGTTAAAATAAAACAACATAATAATATTTACGTAAATACCACTCAATTCCTATGTATTTACATATCTAACACCAAATGTTGCTTTTTCACTTTTATACCACCACCTAAATCTTTCATATCACAAAAAATATACCACCAGCATAACTTCCAAAAAAAAAAAAAAAAAAAAAAATTTCATGTATTGGTAAGGTGGAATGTATGTTAAAACTGAAAGCTTAGGTGTTAGTTATGTAAATACATAAGAATTGAATGGTATGTATGTAAATCTTCCTAATATTTGTTACATTTAAGTTATGCAACTGCCATCAAGACAATAACAAAAATGGAAGTATAGTAAGGCGAGCAAGATATGTAACGCTGTAAATTTTGGTGAGGGGCCGAAGCTTCTTGTGAATCAACATAGGAAGACGAAGCAGAAGATGAAGCGCAGAAAATGGAGCGTGAAATGAAGAGAACAGGCAGGATCAATTCATCTTTAAGACCAAGGCAAGCCAAAGAAACAATACCGAGAATAAGAATCAAAGAAATTGAGTGAGAAGGAGAAAGAGGCCGAAGGAGCACCTAAATGCACAATCTCTAGTGAAATCAAAATAAGGATGATGCGGAAACAAGGCGCGAGCAGAGGATTGAACAACGAATGGAAGCAAAGACAGAGGGATCGATCAATGTGCAGATCAAGAGTAGTAGCAAGCATGTGAGCGATGAGCAAACTCATGCGAGTAGACAATCGATGAGTTTGAGCATACCACAGGCGGACTGATCAGGGATAGTTAGCATTTTGTGCAAAAATTGAAGGAGACGAGCAGAAGATGGAGCAGATCAGTTGTGTCAGTCAGCGAGAACAAGAAGGCAAAACTGCAGGCTTGAGCAAAGCCGAGATTGATGACACAGGCAGCGATCATATGAGTACTCCCGGAGGCACATGTACATCAAGTTGTGTATAAAGCTACCAAACCCAACTCTCTTCGATCTAACATGAAATTAAATCAGAAACAGACAGGTCAATCTCTCGTGTAAGTACTAGCCAGCATATTGAAAATGGACATGCTGTTTAGCTATTGCCTTGCTCCCCATATTCCCAAGGCGCCGTTCTAGCCATGGGAACCATAGTTTCAGAAGACTTGCTAAAGGGCACAAAAAATTGACAAACTAAACCATCTAATATGCATAAGTGATCCCTGACTTCTTAAAACTAATCATAACTTTAGAAATATTGAAACATTGTGGACACGTACAGATGTGAAGTATAGTCTTGTGCGAACATGTCGTTCAGGTGTTCTGACATTAGCATACCTACAAAGAAAAGAGAAACAGTAAGCACAATAATGATGTAAATATAATTTACAAGCTATCAGAGAGTACAAACTTAGGATCTAAGCGATATTTGGTCTCTTTATCTTCATCATCATCTGGATCCAATGATTTTTCACTAGTAAAACTATTTCTTCTGGCATCTTCAAGTTTATGTGTTTGTCTTGGGTGTTGATCACTATCCTCTTTTCTCGACCGCTGGATCATTGCGGTATTCCCGTCACCAAATTTTAGCTCAGCAACACTAATTGCTTCTTCACGGGTATTGCGCAAATCAATTAAGATTTTTCCCAACAATCGGCGGGCTATCTGATACAGAAATAAGAAATGTATTTCTGATAAGCAAAGGCAGATAGGAAGAAACCCACTCCCAAAATAATATCAGAGATATACAAATCATAAATTGACATGAAGCGTAATAAGAGGGATATAAAATGATAAAAAAAGCAATAAACAAAACTAATTGTAGTTAATTGTAGAAAGAATGTGACATATGTTTCTTGAACTAATATTTCTACAAAAAAATTGTCCGACCAAGAAAATCTAGTTGCTCATGTTTTTTTTTTCTTCTGGCTGCTCAATTTAAAAAACACTAAAATGAAGAAATATATAGTGACAGAGACAGACACTCAACATTTTATTTTAGTCATCATTTATATATTTTTCTTTATTTTATTTAATATTTTTCAGATCATGTACTGTTATGTTTTTATGCTAATTATCTGTAGACAAAGAACCATCCGTTGTCAGAGAACCTTTAGTTTGTCATCTGTAACACAGACATTGATTAATGAAGATATACAGGCTTAATTCTACAAAATATTTTTCGCCCAGATTCATGATGCTGAGGATTCCCTTCAACTTAGTGACGCAGGTGCGGGTTTATCCCGCAAGGGAGCGGGAGACAAGCCAACCGGCTGCATAAGGATCGGTCCAGGATTCCAGTAGTACCGGGCATCATTAAGAAGAAACATTGCCTCAGGACTACGCACGTAGAGCTATGCGCGAAATCCAATCAAATGCCGCCCCGTGGAAAAGCCGAGCCCACCGACGAAATCAGGCTAAATAAACACGCGAACCCGGCCCGACCGAAACCCGAACAATTTTCCGCCAGCATAAAAATATTTCGCGACCTAGCTACTGTTCTATTGTAGCTGAAGAAATATTTCGCAGCTCCGTACGCACGCAACTAAGGTTTTTGTTTAGGGTTTCGATGGACGTCTCCTTGAACGTTGAGATGCCGGAGGAATTACACCCATCATTCACCCTGAACTTTGAAGATCAAGTGAGTCTGTAATGATTTCTAGTTTTATGTTAGCTTAGGGTTGTCATTGTGTTTGTGGTATTGTCATTTTGTTTGGGGTGTTTATATTTATAGTTTACTGGTATAGTTCTTGGAAGACAACAATATTTTTGTTAATATGATAAAATTTTGGGTGTTTTACTGTTGCGATTTTTGTGTTATTATGGTGTTAAGTTTGTGTTTTTTTGGTCTTACTTTTGTATTATTCTGGTGTTACTCTTGTATTACTTCAATGTTATGTTGGTTCTTGCCTTTGATTTAGTACTGTTACTGTGGTATAATCATTCATTCGAATAATGAGAGACAAATATCCCATAAAAATCTTTACCGATTAGGATCAAGCAATGACAATAGCCATTGCAGAATGCCTCTCACAAGCACGTCACAGATTATGTCAATGACATATCTACAAGAAACTGTCTTCCAAAGTACACTGTGGAGTGCGTACTAAGAGCATCCGTGGTCTTTTTTATAAATGCACGAGTAAGTATGATTCTGAGGAGTTCGAAGAAATTTGATCCTTAATGATTGAGGTGGAAAAACTACAACGCAATGTCTGGTTACATGAAATGTACCGTATAAGACATAGATGATCAACACATAGATGGTCAACAACATTTAATAATGATATATTTGGTATGAGAATCTTATCAACACAGAGAAGTGAGTCGACCAGTAATATCTGTCATGGTGTTGAAAAAAACAACTAGCTCTCTCACGGATTGTTTTATTGGTCTTGAAACCATAATGAAATCGTGGCGCCGGAACAAGAAATATGAAGATTTCAAGTGCGGTCAGTCCATCACAATGCCAATTGTTAAAATCAATCCCGTGCTGAGGCAAGTTGTCTCATTCAGTACAAGGAAATTCAATACAAGGAAGCTTTACTTGATATTTGAACAAGAGCTATTGAATGACTTATGTGGGCTTACATCTCAATTATTCGTTGCTAAATATTACGTAATGAGATTAGATGATGAGGGGAGAAGACAGCCTTCAACTGTGTTAGTTGACAAAATTAATTATGAGATTACATGTACTTGCAAAAAAATTTGAGATGATGAGTCTGTTGTGCTCCCTTGCACTATTTGTTCTTAGTGTAGCCAAAATAAAGGTGATTCCGGAGAAGTATTTCTTATTGCGGTGGTTCATCAATGCTAAAAGAGACATGTATAATAAGTTTGGTTGCAGAGATCTAAAAGACTCCGTGTTGAATAATGTTTCTTCAAGTGTCCTTCTATTCACGTCATGCCCTCAGAAATTTGCATATCAACTTATTAATAGAGCACGAGAAAATGAGTTTGTCGAGGAGTGTTTGTGGGACATGTTTAAAAATTATCTGTAGATATTGACGGTGCTCTAGCAGGGAGAACGTTTGAGGAAAGTTTGGCAGATTGTCTGACCCAGGTATGTTGCTAAAATTCAGTATCACTTAACTGTCTTTTATATAAAATAATTCATTCAAATTGTACTTGGTATTACTCTTCTATTGCAGGAATATTATGCACCGCAACTAACTGGAATATACATTGGACTGTTGATGGATTCCATAAGTGAGTGATAGGTTAATTGAAATTGTACACTTTAGAATACTGTAACATCTTTAAACATTGTAAGAAACAAGTAATTGTGGTTTATAATATTTCTTTGTTCAACTATTTCTGTGTTGAGATTAATAAAACATTGATAAATTGATTATCATAAATATCATTTGCATAACATGTGGATAACACGTGAATAACACATGATTAATACATGAATAACACGTTATTGCGTTACTCCGTTTTGTGCGTTACTGCGTTACTCCGCTGTGTTACTGCATTATACCATTGTGTTACCGTGTTACTGCGTTACTCCGCTGTTTGCGTTACCGCTGTACGAAGGGAATATTTTCAGCGTGTTATTGCGTTACTCCACTGTGTACGTTGCCGCCGATTTAATTGTTGTTACTCCGCAGTTCGCTGCTTTACTCCGTGTAATGTGCTATGTTACGCGGCGACATTCCCCGTGTTACTGCTGATTAAATCGGTGTTACTCCGCCGTTTGCTGGGTTATTTCGCGGTACGATGTAGTTAATGTAGTTAATATCAAAATTTTATTTTGACGCAAAATTTTTTAACATCTTTCTGTAAAGTAAATTTTATAGCACAGAATATCCAGAATAAGAAATTTTTTTATATTTATTTAAAATAACACTTAAAATGCCAAAAATATTGGAAGATTTTTCTATTAATAGGGGGATTAATAAGAGCATCAGAAACATACTATCCTAAAGGTATAATTTAATTCATAATCCTTGAGGGATATACAAACATACAAAATATCAAACTGAAAGTGTATCAAATATACAAAGGACGGAACTATAAAACTGTTTATAATTGAGGACTATACAAATATACAAAGTATATAGAAGAAAGTTTACTACGAAGTCTTCGACAAGATGCAAATGTCATATACAAATTCAGCTCTAAATCGTTCCATCATATCATCCTGTCATCCTGCCAATCCATATGCTCACTCCAGTGGACTTCTTCGGCCTGCACTAATGTTTCTATATACTTGCAGACGAACATGCCGCAATCAATATATTCCTTTGAGAGGGTACATTCTTAACAATTGATAGTGACCATTTATGGATTTTAGCTGTAAACACATCGGCGGCATCTCTAGCAAACATTTTGACCTGCATAGTTGAAGCAGTATGGTGTTACTCTTCGAGTGCTATTATGCTACTCTTAATTGAGTTGAATATACTTACAACGTCCTTAGCGCCAGCCTTATGCATCTGGTTAGGTAGTGAGTCGTATATTCTTTATTTTCTCAGCTTAAGATCTCCAACCAACAAAATCCAATGCTGAGTATGAATGATTGGAAATAAAATGATTTTTGCATCTTTAACGACTTCCTTGGTGATATGTTTCACAAAAGGTTTGCTATCATATTTCTTATGCAGCTGCATAAAATTATTACTTTAACTGTGCAATGAATATATGACTTAAACTCATATGAATAAATTTAAGTTGTTCAACATACCCCATCCATCGGCGAAACATACAGGTAAGACCGGTATAACTTAGGTCTCCTTAAGGTTCTTTCACGCAGTAAGACAACAAACAGATCAACGTGTTCGTTTCCAAACCACTTATTTAATAGTATATCTTCAAGGGCCGATCGGTAAAATAAAATCTCGCCTCTGTTAATTATAACATCACATTGCATTGATAAAAAAAAGAGTTTCTGTTAATTAAATACAACACAACTGTGTAACATTAAAACAGTGATGAACATTTACTTAATGTTCAGTGTATCTGGCAAAACACTGATCTATTTCTTCCCTGATTTATTTCTTCCTGCATTCCAATTGGTATCAATGATCTACCAGGATACTCAACAATTGAAGCCGCATGATGGAGCTGCAAAAGAAAACAATCCATTTTAACTAAAATAAGAATATATAAGATATGGTTCAAAGTAGATAGATCTATTTTTTTATTACGACTATAGCATATTCGTCCCCATTAGAATTGTGGCTCTTACTCGAGATTTGCTCAAAACCAGCTAATTCTGTGATTTCTTCATCTAAACTAAATTCAATATCTACATTTTCTTTCGGAACTTGGGCCCCTTGGGATTCACCCAATTCTGCATCAGTATTTACAGTGAATGTCACAAGACGCGTCTACAAAAAAAAATTGTTAGAAAACATAATAGGAAGGTTAATTATATCGTACAAAATAGAATGCCGTACTCACTGAATGGGATAGAGATTCGAGAACATCCTTTATTGCTCGTTCGACTTCTTCGGGGTCTTCATGGATCGTTTCATCCCCCACATCTGCGTCTTGTGCTTCCCTTATTGTTTCTTTGACCTCTTGGGTCTGTCCGGGATCATCTGTATGTACAGGATCAACAACATCCACATTTTCCTGTGCAGGATGTTGCACGTTAACATTGCTTATTCTAGTCTTCTTTTGAACTGATATTGAGATACATGGGGTCCACTGTA